AAGTTACATATTTTTTTGAGGCAGAAATTCTAATTTTTAAAAGTACAACTATTACTTTTTGAGGTCAAATTATTTAAAAAAAAAGTTACAACTGATTAGGGGTATTCATGATCAATCATAACATTTCATGATCAATCATGAAATTACCTTAAACAATTATAATTTTACCTTTAAAAAGTATAACTTAATCTCAAAAAATAATATATATATATATATATATATATATATATATATATATATATATATATATATATATATATATATATATATATAATAAAGTAGTTTCTAATTCAAATTTTAAAAGATAAATAAAATGATTTTTACTTTTCACAGTTCAAATCGCTTTAAATTTTACTTTAAAAAAAATTTAACGGCTAATATTAACACTTTAAATTTAATCGAAAAAATAGGGTCCTAAGAGTGTGTTTTTGAGTAGGGGTGTCAATTGTGTCGGGTTTAACGGTTACATGTCGTGTTAAACGAGTGACAGATGAAAAACGTACAAACCCATGCACGACACGTTTAATAAACAGATAAAAAATATCAACACGAATACGACTCGTTTAATAAACAGGTTACACGACACGACTCGTTTAATTTTAAAAAAATTACAAATTTTAATACTCTATTTTTTTTACTACTAATTGCACTTATCTCAAAAAATAGGAATTTTAAATCAAATCTTATAAAAATAAGATTTGAAAGCTTTAAAAAAAAACAAGAGGTTATTGTCTTTTATAGGCAACTCACCCTCCCTATCTCCCCTCATTTTTCAATGTGGGACAAAAACAAAAAATATTACTTTGCCTTTATCTTTAAAGTGCTCTACAACTTCTCTCATTTGTCTTTGAAAAATAAGACTTGAAGGCTTTAAGAAATAAAAACAAGAGGCCATTTTTTTTATAGGCAACTCAACCCTCCCCATCTCCCCTCATTTTTCAATGTGGGATAAAAACAAAAGACATTTGCTTGCTTTTACCTTTGAAGTGCTCTACAACTCTTTTTTTTTGTCTTTGAACTACTACTTTACTTTTTTTTTTATTGATTTATTTACTTTTTTTTTCTTGCTAATTTTTTTAAATAATTATTAATTTATTATTATATTAATTTTATTTAAACGGGTAAACGTGTGATAAACTGTTTGACAGGTCTCACCTGAACACGACCCGTTTATTAAACGTGTTTGGCGTGTGAACCCGTTTATCACTCAAACCAGTTAAGATCTCATCCAAACCCGTTTAATTCGTGTCGGTTAATCATGTCATGTCAAATTTTGACAGTCCTAGTTTTGAGTGACTTTTTAAAAATACTTGTAGAAATTATTTCTCATAAGTACTTTAAAAAAAAATAGAATTTGAAACCGCCCCACCAACACCACTACCTCTACCACCACTGTCGCCGCCACCACAACCGTTGCCGCCATCTCCGCCACCACTATCGCCATCGCCATCGCCCGCCACCACCACCGCTATTGTCGTCGCCACCACCGCCGCTATCACGATCATTGCCACCTATCACAATCATCACCGTCTACTATCACTATCACTGTCGCCCAACACCTTTCACTCCCATTACAATCGATGCTTAAATTCATTTATCACACTTCTATATTTGTGATTTAATTTTGAATATAAATACAAATATGTTTATTATTTACTATTTTTTATTACTCTGTGCCTTCAGATACAAACAATAACTAGTGTTTCGATATAATGCCATAAGATTATGCACACTAGGTAATCAGTTTATGGAGAGACAGAGACTATTCTCAATGTACAATGTTTGCCTTTTATTGTCTAGTTTACATCATTTAGACTTTGCACCTAAACACTAGCATGGCACATAGCTACAAAAGGTGTGGTCCTTTGCGTAATAAAGGGAAAGTTTCGGGCGTACCCCTACCAATTTAGTTTATATCTTTAACGACATACTCCCTATTTTTCGAGTTTTTACTAATATTTTAATGGCGTTAATTAAAATATAATTTTATTAAATTTTTTATGATATATTTTAAGAAAAATTTCATCTACATTCTCTCTAGATAAATATATCTTTAATAAGACATCCTTTGTTTTTGAATTTTTTTACGCATTAAAATTCAGTGTGATTAAAATTTAATTTGCGTTAATCAAAATTCATTTTTTACTATTAAAATTTGAGAAGATTACAAATTATATTTTTTATGTATTAAAATTTAAACCGATTAAAAAAGTTTGATTCGAGCTGATTAAAATTCGTTTTTATTCAGCTTGAATTAAATTTTAATCAATTTGCATTGAATTTTAATTGACTTGAATTTTGATATATAAAAAAATATAAATTTTAATTGACTCAAATTTTAATACTTAAAAAAAAAATTTAATCAACTTAAATTAAATTTTAATAGGCTCGAATTTTAATATGTAAAAAAATAAAATTTAAACATCTCGGCTCAAATTTTAATATGCTAAAAAATAAATTTTAATCAACTCAAATTTTAATATATAGAAAAATAAATTTTAATTAGCTTGAATTTTAATCAAATTTTATGTAAAAAGATTGTTTAAGGTTTATGTAGAGCAATTTTGGTATTTTAGATAAAAATTTTTTTATTAGAAATGATGGTTTAATAACAGAGGTATCAGTGATGTTAAAATATAAACTAAAATGGGTGTTAGTAATATTATAGATAATAGAAGAGATGTCTTTGAAGATATAATAAACTAGAAGGGTTTGACTGAAATTTTTCCTTCAATCTATATAATAAAACAACTCATACTTTGAATTTTATCCCAGTCATATTTTCCTTCTCAAAACCATCATCAATCACTTACCTCACCCATCATCCCTCTGTCAGATTTAAACGTCAAGTCGCATCACTCATTTTTATTATATATTTAATCATTTATATATTTTCTCCATAAAACTATTATATTACTCATTTATATCATATATTTAATTATTTAATATTTAATTAATTTATAATTAATATAATTTTTATTTCAAATATTATTCATATACTCACGTGTTGAAAAAATTTAATATAGTGTGATAGATTTTTTAAACACTCAAATTTTATATTTTATTGTGCATTTAGTTACGGGTTATGACTAGCAAATTAATATTGCAAGTGGCTGCAGCCTTTTTTTGGGCTGGAGGTTAATTTGTTTTTTTGCGTTGAGCCGAGTTTTATTTATGTCTTTGGCTTGTGATTGGGAGTAAGTTGTTTTTTTTATTGTAGTTTATTAAATTTGTGAATTTATTTGGATAAATTTGTTTTTAAAGTGCGAATTCATGTGTGAAATTTTTAGAGCGTTAGCAATGTTAGATGAAATTATTTTATATGGTATAATAAAAAGAAAAATGATATACAATCCAATTAAAACTCAAAAAATGTAACTTAAATATATATTATCTTTTAGACGAGTGTTGGATGAATGAGTTTCATTGAAAAAATTTATGAGATTCACTCATTTAAGAAATCATATCCATTTGAGTTATAAGTTTTTGAATTTTATATAAATTATGTAGCATTATTTCAATATAAAATACCTACCTTCAGCCTTCTTCTATGAAGAAGAGATCTAAAGATATTCTTAGACAAGTTAAGCACAACACACTTCGCACTTGGGGGCCACACTACGTCGCTTATTAATGCACAAAATATTAACAGCTTTATGCACAGATTGGGATTGGGACAGCCCGAAGTGGATGAGCCTTTTGCAAGGTGATGCCAAACTTCTCCTCCATGTCCAAGTCCTTTGGTGCAATGTCACTTTCAAGCTTCCAATCAAAAGAGTTTATGAGAGAACCCAACATCACCGGAACCATCCGTATTGCCAACGGCAATCCTGGACATATTCTCCGGCCAGCACCAAATGGAATGAGCTCGAAATCTCGGCCTCGGACATCGAGTTCCGAGGCCAAAAACCTCTCCGGCTTGAATGCCAAAGGGTTCTCCCAGGCTGATGAATCACGGCCAATGGCCCATGCATTCACCAGCACTTGAGAACCCTTTGGGACGGTGTAGCCACATACTTCAACTTCTGTTTCGACTTTTCGAGGGATTAAGAATGGAACTGGTGGGTGAATCCGTAAGGTTTCTTTCATGACACATCTTAGGTAAGGTAGGCGAGAGACATCTGCTTCTTCTATGAGCTTGCCTTTGCCGATGACTTCTTCAAGCTCAGCCTTGGCTTTCTTCATGACCTCTGGATTTTTCAGTAGCTCTGCCATTCCCCATTCCATTGTGCTTGAAGTTGTATCTGTCCCTGCAACAAATAGGTCCTGCAACATATTTGTTGTGTGAGATGACAAGTGCAATTGAGCTAATGACAAAATTTCAAGCTAGTCATCAAACCAAAGAAGGGGTGCAACTATCCTACAATATTCAGTATTTAAATAGTGATCTGCGTTACTTGAGTTGGACATATTAGGAAAAAAGATCTTAAATTGTTTTAAATTTAGAAAATAATCAATTTTGAGGCCTTGAGGACTCAATCTATGAGGACTTGACCTAAAAAACTCGAATTTCAACTCGAGTTATTTGACATGAACTTTGCAGCAAGTTATGTAACTCAAGTTCAATCCATAAAATACTCGGGCTGAAAGGCTGTATTCTCTATGTGGATCGAACTCTTTAAATCGACAATGAGCTTTTAACTGTTTTCTGTACTCTCGACTCTCAAATCCTATAAAAAGAGCATGTATTTTTTCTTGACTTTCTCTCTTCTTAATATCAGAGATCGAAATTCTGATTTACGTCACTACTGGACATGAAGAAGATGTCTTTTATGGATAATTGCTTGGGTTATAACCAAATAAAAATGGTGCCAGAAGAAATGACACATATAAAGACTTTTGGACCTTTAGGGGAATCCTATCCTTTGAGGTTATTCGCGGAGCGATGAGAACACACAACTATCCTTGGGAGAGGGAGAAGAGTCACCAAATCTAAGGCAACTAGAGAATTGCATAGTACGAAAGGAAAAAGTAAGAGCAAAAGGAGAAAATCTACAAACCAGGCACATGCGCTCGATATGGGTTCTATCGATCTCGTCAGGGTTCTCTTGACTGGTATTGAGCAGCACATCCAACACATCACCATTTCCAGTCTTCTGCATTTTCCTTATATCCAATCTTTCGTTGATCAAACCATTAAACATGTTAAGTACCTTCCCGAAATGAGCAGTCATTCGTCGCCTGATACCCTGTGGATCAATCTTCTTCAACACAGGAAAGAAATCAACCAAATTAGGTTTACCAGCCTCCACCATGATGTTCCACACCAAGTCCTTGAACTCTTTAGCTGTATCATTATATGGGTCTGTCAAATCCTTTGAAAAAATGGTGTTCGACAGCAAATTCAATGAAGTCCTGAAGGCGGCGCGGCCCATGTCCACCGCCTCACCGGTCTGAGAATTTTTCCGGCAGTATGATACGAGCTCCTGGACCTTCCTGCACCGGAGATGCTGGTTGGCATCAAGCCTGTTGCAAGAAAAAATGTTGGAGTTGAGAATTTTCCGGAGGCTTCGCCACCGGGTGGCGACCGGAAGCCAAACAACGGAGAATTGGAACTGGTTGTGGGCGTGGAGGGCGTCTGGGACTGATCGGCTAGAGAAGGCTAAGTCTTGTTTTTGAAGGACTTCTTTGGCCGTGGCTGCTGAAGAAATGACCACTGTGGTAATGTGGCCTAGTTTGAGAGACATTATTGGGCCATGGACTTTGGAGAGCTCGGCCAGGGATTTGTGGGGTTGGTCACCAAGTTTGTTTAGGTTTCCGATGATCGGCAACGGCGCCGGTCCTGGAGGAAGCTTCTTGTTTTTTCCTCCTCTGGATAGTGAGAGAAGGGCTTGAATCAATGTCAAGGCAAACAGTAGGCCACAGGTAATAGTGAGAAAATCCATCTCCATTTCACTTTCTTTCTCTGTGACTTTACTAACGTCTGGGCTAATCATCTATGTTTATAACACAAGGTACTGTTACCTCTTGAGCCCTCGTGACACTCGAGCTGCTTATTAAAATGAACGGAAATTATAAATTGAGCTTCAAGAAGGAAATGATATTAATTCATAGATATTTTGGCATTATTATTTTATTAAGGGTAAGCCGTTCCTGAAAGTACTGTATAATGTAAATGACTTTGAGAGGTATATTGGTGGCTGTTGAATGAGTCTATTTAAAATCGTCGAATGAACTTATTAAAACATGCTCTGTTTTATATTATAAGTTATTGGGTTAATCTCATTTTGCACACCGAAAGATCGTTCGAATTTCAATTTACACCACCAAAGATTAAAAATCTCAATTTACACCCTCAAAGATAGAAAATTGTATTAATGTACACCCCTAAAGATCAAAAATCTCAATTTGCACCCTCAAAGATAGAAATTGTATCAATGTACACCCCCAAAGATCAAAAATCTCAATTTGCACCCTCAAAGATAGAAATCTGTATTAATGTGCACCTAAAACTAAATTGATAAATTATACCTAGATCCCCTCATGTTTGTCACTTAATCATTTGAACCCCTTCACATTTAGAATATTACCCCTACATCTCATGACGTTTGTACATGTGTAAACATAACCACTTTTCGTTGATATCTATTAATATAATCGTTAAAAAATATAATTTTATCCTAATAAAAAATTATAATTTCATATTACTCTTTATTTTGTGGATTCGATATACTCTAAAGTTCAAAATCAAGCTTACTATTTGAATGTCTAATAAAATGTAGATATTTATAAAAAGGAAAATATGAAAAACATTATATAAATATCTACATTTTATTAGACATTCAAATGGTAAGCTTGATTTTGAACTTTAGAGTATATTGGACCCATAAAATAAGGGTAATATGAAATTATAATTTTTTATTAGGATAAAATTATATTTTTTAACGGTTATATTAATAGATATCAATGAAAATGGGTTATATGTTGTACGTGCATAAAATGTCATGAGATGTAGGAGTAATATTCTAAATGTAAAGAGGTCCAAATGATTAAGTGACAAACATGAGAGGATCTAAGTATAATTTTTCAATTTAGTTTTAGATGCATATTGATACAAATTTCTATATTTGAGAGTGCAAATTGAGATTTTTTATCTTTGGGGTGCACATTGATATACATTTCTATCTTTAAGGGTGCAAATTGAGATTTTTTATCTGGGGGTGCACATTGATACAAATTTCTATCTTTGAGGGTGCAAATTGAGATTTTTGATCATATTGATACAAATTTCTATCTTTGAGGGTGCAAATTAAGATTTTTGCTCTTTGAGGGTGCAAATTGAGATTCGAACTATCTTTCGGGGTGTAAAATGAGATTAATCATAAGTTATTATTTTTTTTTTCCTATAGGGTATTTAAGTTTGTACCAACTATTTTTTCGAGTTCATTGTGGCATGGCATGAGCTGAGATAGAGCATATTCATGAGGAATAAGAGTCGTTAATCCTTGGGGGGTGTAAGAAAAAATTAAACCTAAGACCTCTAGATTATCAAAGGTCAAACTCAACTAATGAACCATCTTTAAAGTCAATCATATATTATTCACTGTGTGGCATGCAATTATGGTTTTTTTTTCTTTTGATACTTATAAAAGGGTTAAGTGCAAAAGAGAGCATTTAAAGATCATTCCGATAAGTCTTCACTGATGAGATCACGAGGTCTCTGACTGCACTCGTTACTTTTTTCGAGAACAAACTTAACTAGCCTAATTTATAAATGAACCATTAAACCTAATGTAAACTCCAAAACTCAAACTTTTAATTTGACTGTGAGAAGTTAGATTGTTGCTCTACTAAACCACGCCCACTCGATGGTTGATACGTCGTGTATAAGGCTCTCTGTCTCTATGTTAGGAAGAGATATCAGGCATAACGGAAAGGGGGAAAAAAAAAAAAAACAATCATTGCATGTCGATGGTTTGTCTTGTTATAAGATTTTGAGAGAGTAGATATATTTTATTTTTTTTTTGTATATTATGGTAATTTGTACCTATAGACTCAACGTAACATAAGTGAGAAATTATAGATTTGAAGAAAAAAAATTCAATGTGAATGATCTTAAAAGGAATATTAGTAGTAGTTGGATGAGTCTATTTAAAACTGTCGGAGAAGTATATTAAGATCTATTTCATTTTATAAAACAATTTTATAAGTACAATACAAGTTATTTATATCTAATTTAGGACCTAATGCACTGGTGATAGTAGAGTTCATTCAATATTATGACTTCTTGTTTATTCAATGATCAAATACATAGTGTATTTAAATTGAAAACTTTAAATTAAATGTAAACAATTTACTAAAACAATTAGGAGAAAGAGAGAGAGAAGACAGTTTCATATGCAATAATTATATGATATAATAAAAGCCGATGAGGAAATCCTAACAAGATTTGGGAGTTTCCATCTTTGTCCATAAGTGGCCTTGTTAACACGGACGGAGTTAGGATTTTACCATCGAAGGGTTCAAACTTTATACACAAAAAATCATACCACATAGTAGATTTATATTTTAAATTTTAATTAAATTTTCAATGCACAAAAATAGAAAAAAGCCTAAATATGATATTTTATATAAACAAAAATACTAAGAAAGGAAGAAAATGAACAAAATAAATAATTTTTTAATGCATATCAGAAGATTCTTTTTGTCAAAATTGTGCTCGAAATTCTTTTCTATCATAAAATTAATTATGATCGACATATTACGGCTTTTCTATAAGAGGGTCTTTCTCTATAACTTTATTCAGTGAACGAAGAAATGGGAATTAGGAGTAATTTGAAATGATAAAATTATTTTGTTAAGTTTCCATTCCATATATTAAAGAAAAAATTGAAGTGGTTGACAAATTTTACTGTAGATGTATACTAGAGACCAATCCTCTTGAGATGACAAAACTCTCTTTGTCCTGGATATACAGTGGGGGCTTCAAAAACACAGTGGGGGCCATGGGCATCCCTGGCCATTGAATAGCTCCGTCGTCACTGCTTACTATGCCCTCGTGGTGCACGAGTTCACGAGTTCCTTAAAAAAAAAAAAAGATTGAAATTCAATAAAAAACTGAATATCATGTCTGTTCCTCCTCCTACTAAGTTTGCTCAGGTCTCAAAGCACCATTGATGTAATATGGAGTGTGTTATGCCATGCCTAAGGGGTGCAATTTGAAAGGGCTAATCCGAGACTAACTCCAAAAATTCAATGCTTAGGCAAACATGTTCAATATTCACGTTGGCAGTGGCAAAGTTAGAAATATATTTTAGGGTGGGCATACTCTAACTATATGTTTTACTTTGTCCTTTAATAGGTAAAAATAATGTAATATATTTTTATTTTTTACATCATATTTGATACTTAAAGATTGATTAGACATAGATGGATCAAAAACAAGTCTACAATGTTTACACAAACAAAAAAATTACTAAAAAGAGGTTAATTATAACCCTTTACAAAAAATAAGATTAATTATATAAGAGATGTGATCAAAATATCAATGTCAAAGTCACAACTAATAATATCAATACCGAAATTTGAAAGTTATGGTGTGCGACACTTCATCGATTTTTAGGGCTTAGTTTGATTTAATGCTTTTGGAGAGAACTTGAGAATGAAGTGGGCCATACATTTTTATTTGTCTTATTTTTTTTTAATTGTTGACTCTAAGAGATTCTATAGCCCATTCTATTTTTATTACAATCAATTAACCAAAAAATTTATTCTCTCAATTAACCCAATTTTGTCGGACTGAGAGCTACTTCTTTGAATGTTTGGGGAATAATTTGGTCTTATTAACATCCATGTTCTATGGGGTGTGTTGAATATTTGTTGTTGGTTTTCTAATTATGTTTGACAAGCTTTGGTTGTTTGGATAATGAATTTAGGTTTCTTGAATTTTTTGGTGAATTTTATTTTTATGATTTTTGTCAGAACATGCTCATTGATTTGATTAAATGGTTTGATTGTTGCTTTGCGTTGCACATGCCTCATGCCTCACTGATTTTTTTTGTTGCAGCCCGAATTATCTAATTTGATTTTAACGCAGAGTTTAAAAAATTCAACTTAGACAATTCTAGAGTTGAGTAATCCGGGTTGAAGGTCAAATTGTGTTAATTTTACTGCTTGGTTTGACCCCTAAAACTACTCAATGCGCCTTTGTTGTACCCTTAAATTTGACGGATTAGAGTAAATTTTGAAAACCGGCTGAGTCTACCCAATAAATTTTGATACCACATAATTTACAAGCTATTGGGTTGTCAAGCAGCGTTGGACAAAAGTGGTGTTGTGTTTGGTCACCGAGTTTGTCCAGGTTTCCGATGAACGGCAATGGCGCCGGTCCGGAGGAAGCTTCTTATTTTTTCCTCATCTGCTGGATAGTGAGAGGAGGGCTTGAATCAATTTCAAGCCAAACAATAGGCCCAAGGCAATGGTGAGAAAATCCATCTCCATTTCTCTCTCTTTGGCATTTTTATTTCTTAAAGGCCTCGTGACACTCGCGTTGTTTATAAAAATGTAAGGATAATATCGATTGAGATTCGATACAAAAATGAGATGCATCATTGATTTGTTGGTGTAATTTTTTTGCAAACAATAAGGGTGTTGATCATATATTATTTGCTGCATGCCTTGTTAAAGAATTGCATTAACCCCAATGCGTAGCCCAATGATGACAAAAATGAATAGTAAATTAATTCAGATATTCAGAGTTCGAAATTTGACAATTTTCTTGAGATTAGGTTATGTGAAATTTTTAGTAAATTTTGATTAATTCCAAACATTCTTCATTTAATTTTTACATTAATTAGGCTATTATTTTGTTCCCATTGCAATTTTAAAATTCTAGTTTTCAAGGTTAATTAGGATATTGGCATTATAAATAACAAATTATGCAACAACCAAT